TGCCATGGTTGAACAAGGCTCGTCCAAAAGTGCCTCGCTTCAAACTTCATGGTATTCACAGCGCGACACGGATTCCTCCCAAGCCGTGCTTGCGTGACGAACGTGCACCTAGTCATGGACAGCCTGAGGTATGCAAAGAATTTGGATTCACAATAAATGCCATAATATTTTAGCTTCTCAAATGCATTTCACTGAGTCATACGAACTGGAATTTTGTGAGATTCAAGTAAAAATTCTACGATGACTAGTTGGCCCCATCGGCAGAACGTTAAGGATGAGAGTGGACTTGACAAACAATTCTTCGGCATTGGTCCCTCTCCCCAATGCTCCGTTTTCGGACCACTTCTTTTTTCATCTGCGTTAACGACTTTCCAAACAAGTGTTTGAGCTCAAGTCTACTTTTTGTGGACGACGCGAAATAAGAATGTACCGACACGAGCACCACACAAATAGATGTCAGCGATGCAAAGCCCCAGTCAATGCACTGGCACCTTCGCGTGAGTGAGGAAAAGTGCATTCATATGTGAAATTTGTCCTGCATGGTCAGAGTGAACCAGAAGAAATCACAAAAGTGGGTTGCCGGAGGGATTATGGTAACTGGCTCCATTAAATATGACATTCTCTCTCCGCCAAAAAAGTCGGCTCGGAAGACATATTTGTCTCATGGATGATGTAGCGCACCTTCCCTGTAGCGCTGAAGTTACTCGTATTGCCCGAATTATACTCTAGGGCCGGTTTCAGATCGCTTCCAGTATTTGCCAAGCAATTTGTCTATTCAAAACTGAAGAAGAATAAGGTAAACCTCGCTGAGTGTCTCCAACGGGAGATCAGACGTGTCCGAGAGAACCTGATGCTCACTTATGCCATGTTTAAGCATTGTTTAGCAGATAATTTTTCACCGATGAAACAAATAATGCACAGCGAAGATATGGTGAAACTATTTTCAAGCGCAGGGCGTGAAAGTTATTAGCAGCTAGTTCACTCATTACGGATACCCGGCGTGTGGAAACTAGCTACCATTCCGTTTCTCACCCAAAAAAGTCAACTGTGCCGTTCAAATACATGTCAAACCGCGGCAGAAACAAGCCATCCGCGTTTTTCTTGGGGGAAAGTGACGGTGAACCCACGAGTGACCCAACAGTTGGATCTGAGTTTTACAGAGAACACCATGCGGGTTTATATCCAGCCCCGGCGTCCCCGTCATATCCACCCTTGTCAAGGCGTAACTTCGGTCAGCCTCTGCGGACTTGGTCTTCACGGCGGAGGACATTTGTCAACTCTTGCAGAAGATCAACCCATTTTCCGCCTTGAGCCCGCGGGGTCTATCCTGAGGGAAACGTCGTTTACACTGGCCAAATAGTTCTACGTTGTGTCTTGTTAGTCGTTTGACGAAGGCCGCCTTCCCTATGACGGGAAGGAAGCGATTGCCGCAGCTACAGATCTATGAGTCTAACCAGCGTGCGGTGTAAAGTGATGGAACGAATTGTGAAACAAGATATCTTCGATCACCCTACTTCCAACAATATCATAGCTCCAGATTAAGGTGGATTTCCTTGAAACCGTTCTTGCGTGAGGAACATGTTCTTATTATTTAACAGCTTCATCCAACCCGAGGACGAAGGACGCATATCGGCTGCCCCATTCTTCGACTTCTCAAAAGCATTTGATCAGACCTCACACGCCTCACTGCTCCACAAACTTGATTCTGATGGGACTCAATGGAAAATCCACACTGAAGTAAGGCAACCTTATCAAACAGATCTTTTTGGTGAAAATATGCTCAAACTATTCTTCGCGGACCAGACTCCTTTACAGTTCCCCAAAGCCCCGTTTAGCTACCACCGCTGCTCCTGATATACGTCAAGGACCTTCCAGATATTCTTGCAAGTCCGCATGTATTTTTGCGAACGACTTGAAACTCTGGAGTTCCAATGCCAATGTAGACGATGCAAACTGGTGATCGTCGTTTTGGCACCTTCCTCTGAATGAAGGAAATTGCTTTCATATGTCATTTGAAGGAAACTCGGCGATTGTCTCTGTCATGAATTGTAAGTAAGGGCCAGAAACCTCATGAGGACGGATATCAAAAACGATTTAAGTATCTGGCTCACTTCAAACATGTCCCTTACACTGCATCATGAAAAATTGGCCCAGAGGGCATTCGCCGTTCTACGGATCATACGCGGCACCTTCTCCCGTAATAACCGCTTGACTTCCGAATACTCTATGTGGTCTACTTCAGAGCACTCCTTACATACGCCAACGAAGTTGTCTACTCGAGACACACGAAAGGCGTCACCACCATTGGGCGTTTTCAGCGAGCCGCTACGGAAATGGTTGCCGTCCTCAAATCCGTGGACTAAGAAACGCACCTCGCAGTGCTTGGCCTCTTTCCCATGGAGTATCTTTGCCTCGAGGAACCAAATTCTTACTTTTGCCATGGTTGAACAAGGCTCGTCCAAAAGTTTTTTCACCGGTGACCCAGCAAACACACGGCGGGGACATGGTAAGATTTTTAATCTCATCGAACACATTCATCAAGCAATTTTTCCTCATTTCAGATAGTAACTGCGTGGAATAACGTTCCCCATCGGCTTCCCACGCCATCTCCAGAACCCAGTTCAAAGCACTATTCGATACATATCTATGCGGGTTCTCGCGTTGGTAACATACTGCCCCACGCTGAGAAATTAAAGGATGATGCCTAGATGCACAATGCATTTTTCTGCAAAACCCTTGTGGAAGAAGTGAAAACTTTAAAGTCAAAATGTTGCACTTCTTTGCATATATGATCAGTCTAAAAATCTGCCTTATCTGTCATCATTTTTAGCAATTTGTTTCAATCGATCTCTTTTAAAAATTGCTGGCTCACATTCGGCTTTGAAATTCATGTGCTGTGGCTTCGGAAGAGGCCTTCGTTGAGAAATTTCTGGGTGTATCGTTTTCATCCTTCACGACATTTGAGAATCAAAGCAATACATGAAGGATAACTTTGTGGTATTGGTGCGATCATCCAATGATCGAAACACGGACGCAAATTTGCGTTATGAATGGGTGTAATACAAATGCAGCAGGCGCCCTCCAAGACCAACGGAAAGCCGTAAAATCCGAAGAAGCTTGTAAGCCGAGCGTATTTTCCAAAAAATGTGCACGAAGCACCAGCTGTCCAGTGCGGTTTTGTCTACAGAGGCTATGGTGTCAGCCGACAGTCACCTCCCATTTTGAACACCACCACAAGTTGCCACAGTTTCTGTACGACCGACCTCCAGTCAATCGACGGCTAGCTGAAGACGAGTTGGATCACGCAGCGCCCTTTCGAAATAAAAACGCCTTTGTGTGAGGTGCGGCAGTTTGTGGCGGATGAATTCCACAAGATTACTACCACTCAGGACATATGCAACGACCGCCGGAAATGTCGACCACCTATATTAAGTAGATGCCACATAGTTGGGTTTTAATGTGGCAGATGATATACCTTCGGTACTGGCAAAACCTCGGGAGACCGGACGCGTTATTGTGCCAGGCAGAGGAAGGTCACTACAACTACATATGTTTCTCCCGATGGCAGCAGATAGCGTTATTCCGATGATTTCCAGATGTAGTAAATGTAGACGGAACGCATGCAATAAACAACATCGGGTAAGTTTTTTAAAGCATCTAATAATCGGCATGTAGATATAAGCTGTACACCTTCTCGATAACGTACGGTATGGGAACCGGGCGTCTGGTCATGTATGCACTCGTAGGGAGCGAACAATTTGCTTCCATGCGTAAACTGTTAGACTTATTCAAGGCAATGATGGGCTAAACTTATCCAGTCAAGACTTCTATAATGCACAAGTTGGCGGCGCAAATGCATGCGGCGAGGGTCGTATTCGGCTGTGACGTGATGCTTTGCTATTTTCATGTCCGCAAATCCTTCAGGAAGCACGCACATATCATTTAATATCCATGTATTTTTGGTCATATACGCTCTCTGCGAACAGCCGGCACATATTCCACCGCATGACTTACCTGAACAACGCTATACAGTAGGTTTTATGTTCATCGTATTACATGCACACAGATTGCGGCAAGACCTGCAGCTTCTGCGCCGAACCGATCCTCGATTTCTTTCCTATCTTACAGCTCGCTGGTGTCCATTAACCGGATATCGGCCATACACGCACAGTCCGGAATGTTTTATTTCGGTAATGTGACGAGCAAACTTGTGGAGAAGGTGAATGGCCTTCTCAAACACAAACCGCACCACTCCAACACGTTGAAGAATGCAATTTACAAGGTATCCCGGCACGACGATGGCTCATGCGGGTATGCGTCGGTTAAGTTCGTTCAGCTATCCACTCTGATCGACTTGGGTTCTATGTGGCTATTTATTTAGGCATCCTGTACCCCTAGCCGAATGCTATTCATGTGCGTCGGTTATGCTAGTGCAGCTGTCATCCTCGATCGACGTAGGCTCTATGTAGCTAGTTAGTTAGGCATCGTGTATACCTAGCAGCATGTTAGTCATGTGCGTCGGTTAGGCTCGTTCGGCTGTCCGCTATGATTGAGGATTGTTCCATGTTCCTAAGCGATGAACCTCGAGGGCTTCCTAGCATAAAACGGAGAATATACATTATACATAGACATTCTACACTATGAAGTGGCATGTCTGAAAATGCCGTAGATTTCGAGAAATCGAACTCATTGTGCGAATCGCCAGCGGTAAATTAGAGAGCAGTGCTACGCCCGTTTCACTTCTGCCCCTCAGGTGCACGACAGCCGCAGACCGACAAGAACAAAACCGACCGGACGAGACCGACAGGACAGAAGCCTCCGCCCTGTGTATCAAACAGTCAATCTGCGAATTATCCTCCTTAACGGAAAGCTTTTGTTTTAATGTTTGAAACATGAATTTTGCTCTGGAGCCTTGATGATGACCTTGCATTTCTAGTTGGCGCGTAAAATGTATATCGCCATAGAAGATTTTTCATGGTTTGAAAATGATCAGGAAGTATCTATCGAAGTGCCGTTGAGAGGCCTGGCAAAAAAGGACAAAGAAGTAATGATCACGAGTCGTTTCATCAAGGTGAGCCGTCGAAATGTCCTAATTAGTGCGCTGACTGCCACATGATATGTTCCTCACTGAACACATGGATACTGGTGGCCAATATTGGTCACAGGTAGCTAAGCTTTTGCTGCATTATCACCACTGATTATCACCACTGTTACTTAAAAGCCCTCTGAGAGTCAGAAAAACAGGTCAGTTTAGCCTATTCAGCATTCAATAGACTGTTGTCTTATCCACTTAGTATTCGTTGAATGCACTGTTTTTAACACCCAGCAACGGTGGTCTTCTCCGACCTGAAAGTTTCCTCTGATTCTGTAGCGAGTCAGGCACTACAGCAGTCTATGGATCAAAGGTGTCTTCCATAATTTCGTGACCCTTTTTAAGGGTCACTCCAAATGGCTCAGAAAAATCTAACGGAAGTTCACGCCTAAGTTCACTACATCGGGTAGAAACAGCCAAGACTATCCTCTTTCATGCTGCTTTTCAACTTCATCGTCACTTCAAGTCTGTAACGTCTGCTGTGTCAAAACATTCACAAAGGATTTGCTCATAAATATCAATTGAGCAAACGATATGGCACTTCTATAATCTGATGCTATTTTAGTTCGGACGACAAATATTCTATAATCGAAATAATTCTGCCCCACGGTTTGGCAGGCGCTCCAAAATCACTATTTGTAATGTGCTACTACAAGACTGCGTGGACCCAACCCTCAATGTCATGCTTACTCATAGGATGAGTGAGGCAGCAGACAAATTTCTCTACCTGAAAAGCTGCGTTAATCACGGTGATATAGCCAAAGACGGTATTTCAATCAGAATTTATAAGGTAAGCATAGCTTTGGTAAACTTGAATCATCCGTACTTTAGGCGTGACACGGTTGTACGGCAGTGAGGCCCGGTTGTTGAACACTGATGATGAGGATGATGATGATGACGATGATGATGATTAGGCGTGACATCAGCTTTTCCGGCAAAGATCGAGTTTACAGTGCTTTGGTGCATTCCATACCATTATAAGGCTAAGAAAGCTGGTCAGTTTGCGCCAAGGACGTCAACATCTATAAATATGTGACCATGGATGTCTGTGGAGCATTACCTGAGTCTGGTGGGAACAGCAGATCAATAATGCTGAAATACGTTAAATGGTTTTGGGAAGAAGCAACTGACCCACGGTAGATGAACTAATCGCATTTCAGAGGTTGCACTAGCTTTGTAAATTGCTCCGTATACCAGTTGACCTACTTCCTTTAATAGCCCTGGTTGCACAATCATGCAAAGGGTGAAACCGAACTAGCGGATGTCAAACAATGACTTGTCAGCGAAGTATAAAAGCCATCATTAGGAAACTCAGCTGAGGTGCTGATCATTGTTGCTTCCCTGGATAGAGAAACCAAGACGGGATACATTAACGAATAGAAATGGAGCGAGATGACTCAGTGGTTAGAGAGCAAATTTTCTGTTTCGAACCGGACCTCCACCTCTCTACTTCCCCTATCTAGGCTTGGGTAACGAGGCAGTATCTCAGACCTTGTTATTCCTCCGGGCGGCATGGCAGTTAGACACCAAAAGGATGCTACAATTGAACAATTTTTGTCAAGGATTAAAACAATGTCGGGCAGTTATACCTTCAATTTCGCTTGTACATCTAAGCTATTGCCTCCAGTAAATGGCCCTCATCCCGGTATCTCCATCGAAAAGTCCGCTCCAACTCCTTTATTTGCGTACTACTTTATTAATGTATTAATGTATTACTGTATTGAAATATAGCCTTTAATGCGTATAAAAGCATCTTATCTTTCCATATCATTGGCGATCACAACTGCAGTAGCTATAATTTTTTACAAGCACACGTTTTTACATTTGATTATGATAACAATGAAGCGTTAAAACCAAATTTTATGTAGACCCGTGTGGACATGAAACCTCTTCACTAACTTATATATTGATTTATTGAACGTACGGACTCTCAATAGCCCAGAGAAGCTATTTGTTCTTTAGTATTACAAGTCAGCTAATGTCTCTTGGACGGTATTGAAACTATAAAGTCCAAAATGCACCCTTTTGTTTTAAATAACGCATCTTGGCTTGCTTAGTGGTTCCTGCATTTCAACATAACAAACAGGCTGCATCCTTTCTTGACATCACTACTTGTGACAAACGTTTTGCAGTGTGCACAGGATATACATAGATACGCAAGTTTCATCAGCAGGTGTACACACCCACATAAGGTCTACCATGTTAACAAACCGAAGTGAAAGGAGTGCACTCCTGGGCGTGATGCTGACCGGAAAAAAAAGTATTGTCGAAAATTCTGTTCTTAAATCTGATGTGGTCAGGGTAATTACTTCACATTTAAGCTTTGCATTTATTAGACAGAAACATTTTTGTGTGGATTTCGTCTTGTAAGTGTAGCCAATCTGTGCTGAGAAGCCGAGGAGCACTGTGCAGCTGTTTCATCCTTGTTGAGAATCATCAGCCGTGTGCATTTCACAAAACTCCTAAGAGTCTTGAACCCGCGACCTCCCGGCTAATAGTTTGAACTCAACCGTTTGGCCACTCGTGGCCACGAAATACTCACAAAGGTCCCAAATCTCCTCACACTACCAACAAGACTGAAACACTTTCTAGACAGGGCCTGTTCTCAATAGAGTTTATCACATTATCATCTTAGACAATATAAGGCTGAGGGTTTATCCACTCAATGTTATGTAAGTTGTGGATGTCACTCATTCAAATTCACTGTCAAGTACTGCAAGAAACTGAGGCAGTGCCGTGCTTGTTAAAGTAACTGCATCCTATCTGCACACAAAATTGGTTTTGACACAAAACTCAACTGAATACAACCTAATATCTTTTTCTTGATGATTCGGCATCTCTTTCTCATTCCAAGAGAATTACTACGTCATCCTTGATCGCCAGTCATTTGAAGACGGCTATATATGGGACCGGCGTTCAATGCTAGTATTGATTATATTCAGTAGCGTTAAGGGACGATGGACTTTTCCGTCTTATCGAAGAAAATACTCTACTTTTTCTAGGCGAATCCAGTGTGACCTGCTGCTTTACTCTGAGCTACAGGCACTCCTTCTGCGGAAAAGTGAAGCGCTCAGACACTTATAGAAAGCAACACTCGAAAAACTCCAAACTTTGAAACCAAACAGCAGAGGTGCGATGCAGACTGATATCATTTTTACGCTGACCATGTTATATGGTTACTGATTTTGTGATGGTTTCTTTGTTACAGCACAGAAGTAATACTGCCGAGGTAGTAGCAGTACTTTTTTAAGCAGCCCGTGACTTGTACAAAACTGACTAGCTGAATCATAGCCACCCAGAAATCAGAATCATCTGGAAGCACTGCGCCTATGGTGCATGGTCTGTAGCTGATGAACTGAAGTGACCGACCGATTGAATCAGAGCTCTTTGTCTAATTTCGTCATTTCCTAGATTAAGTGCATGTTACTTCACATTACGCTCTCATCACATTGTTCGTTCAGCTGACCAGTAAAACCTAAAATACTTTTTACTTGAGCATCTTTGAACTGAGTCTTCTAACCACTTTTGACCAATAAATACTCTCATTTAATCGGATGTGCTAAACCTTTTACCTCTTCATCTAGCGTTTACACTTAACGTTACAGAAGTACACGGCAAAATGTAGTCGGAATGTGTCCTGCTTTTAGCGGTCCCCCGGTTGTTTCATAATGTTCCAATAATACACACGCATTGTTAAACAGACAAACTAATTAGACTGTCTTATAACTCATCTGCCTGTTGATTAGTACGTGTCACCTAACATGAGGGGCCCAACTCCAATTTCTCACTTCCGTGTAAACGAAAAAGATCCTGAACTTTTTCTTTCCTTCACTAGAAAGCGTTTAAATAAAAATGGTTTTTTTTGCAATCAAGCGTCGTTCTTTGAACACTAATGATATTCCGTCAATGACGGTGACGATGATGATGACAGTGTCAAAAATGGTAAATAATCTATCTGACTAACTTCTGAAAATGTAGGTACGTAAACACGCAGATGAGCAAGTGGGATTCAAACATAAGGTTAGTACCAGGTATCTTTTTTGGTTTATTTTTTCTTCAATTCACGACAGTGCTACAATCAATGTTGGTTCGCGATGTACTGGTCCCGCCCATTGAGATTTATATTACTGATGTCCTCATAGGCACAGATGGTTAAGTAGAGCAGTTCTGACCAATACGTGCTTTTGGCTTCTTACTGGCTTTCAAAAAGCATTATCAGTCTATCAATGTTTTATGTCAGTCACCAGCGCTAAAACGCCTCATGGACAATGCCAGTTTACATTCCTTTTCATTCATGTGGAGTCTTTTTTCTCCGTAATAGATGGTGATCAAGCCTTATATGTTTGAATGCATACTTCTGAATCCCATACTGGTTGATGAATCCCGTGTGGAACTATCGGGAAGTCAGGCACGGTTTGTACTCAAGAAAGCTGAGGCTCAAATTTGGGGGCGTCTCTTATCTGAAGAAATGAGTATGCAAATCGTGCAACTTCTTTCAGATTCTGATTAGCCAAACTTTATAATAACAGAGGACAAACACAAATTAATTCAACTAAGAAATGAGGCGATCATTGAACACCAAGAGCGGGAGAAGGCAAAACAGGAGGCTAAATTGCAAGAAATCAGAAAGGGAGAAAAGGATTCATTGAACAAAGTGATGAAAGTAAGTTAAAAGCTAGATTTACGTTTAAAAGGTTAGCTCGAAGCGGACGAGAGGGAACGGATTGAATCCGAAAAAAAATTTGCCGGTGAGAAAGCGGTAGAGGAACTCGTTAAAATACATCAACAAGAACAAGAGGAAAAGGCTCAAGTATGTGACTCATTTTTAGTTCATATTTTTCAGTTGGATCAAAAAATCATAGAGGCCCGGCAGCTTGCAAATGAAATAACGGAGCAACGTATAATGATAACTAAAAGTAATTGGTTTTTCAATTAACTATAAACATTTTGAACATGGTTAGTGTTTTCAGGTCCCGAGGAGAGGATTGCACTTTCATTGAACGAAAAGCCGATTGAACTTCCAGTACGAACATCCACCAACATAACGGTGAATTTTACGCCGCGCATTTTCCCCACTCCTGAACGCGAATCAGTAAAACAAGAAGAAGAAGAGGTGAGTGTGAAAGTATTCACTTTGTTTTGAATATGTTGTAGTTACTCAAGCACACAATACTTTCTACCTACACATTACTATATTTATGAAACTTCCTCTAAACATCCCCATGCAGCGTCAACAGCTGGATTACCACTGTCGCGTTCTTACCATAGGAAACACTGGTTTTACCAAATTCAACACTCACCGCAAGTAGTTCTTGGATCGTAGAATAAGAAGAGAAGTGCTGAAAGTTTTCGATGACGACAGCGTCGACACAAGTCACAGTTGACGAATCAGTGTAAGCTGGCCACCATTCATAGTGTATTTCAATTAATTGAGGACGAATATGATTATGCCTCCAACGACAGTGAGACACAGGTGTTTGACAATAATTTGACGGAAAGAGTATTAACTTTCGATAAAACGAAGTAAGATATATCCAGGTTGATCACCAGGACTTTAGACTTTTTGATTCAAAATATTCAGTGGTGCTGGCTGCTTAGTGAATGTTTAGTCCGTGGATGTAGTGTGATCCATGTAGCAGCTGTTTTAGCAATGTTCTAGAATGTTTTAGCATTTGGAAGAAGGAAAATGTGTGCCTAGGCATAGGGCTTTGGGAATAAATTTAGACACTAACAACCAAAAAAACTTAAAACGTATGCATCCAAACAAAGCTTAGTGTATTCTGCAGCAATGTATGTTAGAAACATGAAGTGAGATTGGTTTTCGCCCCTAAAATCTAGTGTTGTTGTGACAATTAACTGCATCTAATCGAATTGAAGTGTTCGTCCTACAGAAATGGCGTAATCAGGGGTGGGTGAATTTTTTTTATTGTGAAAACCCTTTCTTCAGTGGAAGTGAGTATTGTTAAAAGAATTCGTCCATTATAGTACCAATTTAGTTCGTGCCTATTCGTGCCTGGTGTTCATAGAAAATTCGCAAGCCTAATTTGTGACTGCTTACTAATCGCTCCTACTTGTGGACAGCGCTTTCCTCGATTAAGGTTTCTTCTTTCGGATATTTAATGACATCGCAATATTTATGTGGGTGCTCTCAGCTACATCTGAGCTGGCCCTTCATTGTTTGTAAGTTAGCTCTGTCAGATTAGCTGCTGCAAGGGTGGGCATACTGCCTTGGAAGTGGCTCAGCAGTGTTTCGGCGACACATCTTTTTAGGCTGCTTGGTAGAGTTAACCAAGAGAGCGGAAGTGAATCTACTGCCAGATGAGTTATCATGCCAAAAGGTAAGACCGGTGACCGATAGCTTTTCCACCCTCCTGTGTTTTACTCAAACTCACTCACGTGTCAGCACGTCAACTGCTTACCTTTTGCCAAAAATATGACGGTCTTTCAAGTGCAGCTTGGAAGCTTACCGCTCTTCAGGGATATTTCTGTGCATATTATGCAGCTGGTAATGTAAACACAATAACATGGGTAGGTGTGGATGTGTAGCGAAGACCTGAACTGAAGGACCTTGTTCACCAAATATATCCTCAATGTTGTCAGTTTTAAATGCTTTCAATTAAGTTACAGTGCTCTAATATCTCCTAAATCTCAAAATGAATGCTGCCTATTGGAAACAGTGACACGCATCTGTCAGTTTATCTGCAGCTTTATAAAATTTCCGCAAGATTCCATCGCTTTTCTCCTCATTCATATTCTGCTCTTTAAAATGCTATTCCATCGCATTCGCCTCCAAGGTGTTAACCAGATCTAACCTGATGTTTAGTTACTGGGACTACAATTACATGTCCGCGTAATGGGCGTTTCCATGATGAAAATATAATAATGAAGAGGGAGATATCTAGTCTCTAAAAGGCTTTTTCAGCAGCAAATGTTACGATAACCACAACCAATGCTGACCGCATTCGTGCTTGGTTTGATTTCATGGTGCACGCCACTTATCACGATGGAGAATGCCTAGCTTGTGAGTGGTGAGTAAACTGAGTAAACCAATGACACTAGATTGCAAAATCACTGGTATGGAAGCAGATAATGATGCAATACGTGCACAGGACAATAGGATCATTTCAAAAGCCCCTCAGAAATTCGGTTTACGAAACTAGGTAACTGAAATTTCAGCTTCTACACTTCATCTGAAAAATCAGCGGTATCAGCTAAGAAGGAAACTCCTTGTGAACCCAAACTATTGTTGTGGAAGACTTTTTCGAATACGGGAGCAGATGAAGACCTACGGGAACCAAAGTGTCTTATTTGCGTGGATACCTATACTTGGATGGTCATAACTCGTTATGAAAAGCTTCCAAAATTTCAGTTAAGCCATTTATTTCGAAGGCAAACCGCTTCAGACAGCGACACTGGTGGCTGTCCAATGTTTAGAATAGCAATGTTTATCAACAACAACAGTAAATGGTTGAGGTTTCGATAAACTGTGCTCCATTTCTAGGGTTTCCATACAGATGGTTTCGTCAATGAAGGTTAATTGATGAAAGCCTTCATCTTGCTACTTATGTGACAATAATCCCCACATGTTTCAAATGATATCATTACTATGAAATAACATGCAAGGCTTTCTTTAAATATATATGAAAAAAAACATAAGTGCTTCGTAAAACAGGTGGAAATCCGACAACACAAATGATGCAGCAACGTAAAGCAGTGACATAAAAAACGGTGCATCCATCACAAAAGTAAACTTATAAACAAATCAGATTGAGGAGAACCAATAGTTAGAAAACGACATATAATACAGGTCTCGCTTTCATGATGGATTCCTGGTAACTTCTTAATTACTCCATTTTATGGCAAACTTCCCCTGGAAAACGGTGAGTTGATTACAGGAACAACCCCGGGCGCTTTTGTCGTCGAAGCGCACTTGGCAGCAGGGTCCGAACACAAGCCATCCGGGCTCTGTCCCACTTTTGACCCCATAGGCCCTCTGCAAACCAAAGAGCTAAACTGTAGACAACAAGATGTTCAACGGTCTCCCGATGTGACAGCGCCGCTCCGAGCAAGGCAGTAGTGACACACAGGCTTTTAGAGTTTTTAGTTCCGTTTGCTTAAGAAGTGTCCCAGTCACTGTAGTTTGGATCACTGGATCATTTTCGAAAGGCGTAGAAAGTTATCATGTTGTGTTATGTAGAATGTTATTCTTAAACGCCAGCTGTCAAATAGTTCCAGTCTTCAAAGGGTGATCCCTTATATATTCATATAGTTGTATTGTCTAGTGTGATGTGCTTCAGGTTCCAGTTTGTCATATTCTTGTTTTATTTTGCATTTATTTTTGGAGCTTTTTCCTTCCATTGCGGTTCTGCTTATAAAAATATTCACCAATAAAAACCCATAGGTAGGCCACTTGAATGCACATGAAAGGTGGCTTTCCATTTCTGCGGGACCTTAGTGTATATTGAGTCCTTTCCTCTGGTTGACTAATCAGCTGGCTCTCAGTTACACCAGAAAATTATGAGTCTGAACTCTATCATGGTGTGTCCCCTGTCCTCATTAATGGATCTTTCCAACTCAGACTATGTGGACTTTTCCGTCATACCCTTAACTGTGCTGTAACACCTAAATCAGATGATCAACCGATATATCGGAAAAAAATCAGCCACACATCGTCGAATTTCATATCCTTATTTCTCTATCTGGTGTGCAAGTGTTCAAAAGGTTGCTAAAACCTAGTGCTGACAGTTGAGTGCGCTAGCTGTGTATCTGTCACAGATACTATGCCGACAGCCTCACAGTGTATGGATGCCTCAGAGTATGGTTGCTCACGGAGAGCAGTCTGGCAACATGAGTCCATGGAAAAAATTGTTCCCGACTAGAGACTTTTGATTATGGCACTCAATCTCCATCGGTTCACATCAGCCTCACTTAGTCACTTAGTCAAAGCAGGGATATTTAGGTCACGCGAATTTATTCGAGCTTCTGGAATGTTCACTATCGCAGACTAGTTCCCATTAGCAATTTGCCTTCGTTGGAAATGGGAACTAAGACTGGGGAGGATGACGTCATTTATTAAAATGCCGAGCACCTTCACAGCATAGAGCTGAAGCGATGGCAGTTCGTATAAGCAGAAGGCGATACAAAGATGTAACAGAAGGACTTGTACAACAAGCCGATAGATGTGTAAAAAGTCAAAACAACTTTAGAAAAACAGATTGGTATATACGTTTTTGTTTGTTTCAGAGGCGCATAATACATAGTCTGTCATAAACTAGTACCTTTGGCTAGAGGATAAATGAGCAGAATTTTTACGCCTGGTAACAACCGGCACCATATCCTCTGGGTGCCCTGATAGGTCAAGAGCTCATCTGGGCAATTCCAGCTATGTGGCGAAGCATGGTTGGTGAAAAGACCGGCTAATTGTGATAAACAAAATTCATGAATTTCTCAGTCGTCTTTTCATTCATTTCTATCACAGGGTTTATTTGAAGCCTGATAGTAAATCCATACGATTGTTCTGGCTATTCTCAGATGCCTTGGAAGATACTGAATTAGATTTCCTACTAACAGCATTAGAAACTTCCGACGGATGCGTTTATTTACGCGAAGTTTCCGGATCACTTTTTACCCGGCTTGCTTTTGACAGTTTGAATACGCTTGCTGATGCTTCGTTCAGTTAACCACTAAATCGACACTACTTGACCAGCAGCATCCCAAGTCACTATCTTATTCATTTTCTATTCATTTTCCAACAAGTGCTACATTATACGTTGAATACCAAAAAGTAGAGGGGATTGCGTAATGTATCGTAAGTGATAGTCCCACATCCCTTTGTGTTCAGAATTATTCCATAGGATGAAATCGTGTATCTACCTCGACCTGCAATACGCTATTCATTATTTTTTATAGTGATGCTGCCCTTAGTACCTGAATACAGTCCTGCTCAGGCAGAACTGTCATCACGTTTATGAATGTAACACTCACAAGATGTTACCTGGGTTCAGCTTATTGACACTCCAGGCTAACAGGAGTGGAAAACTGTATGGTCAATCACCATGCTGCTGCAATCTGTCCAAAAGCTTGCCTCAGCACTGGGCATTTCGGAATTTTAGCCCTGAAACCGTGATAGATGTGACATTAAGTGACCACCATTGTACAAACCACGCTGCCATCTGTTAAAATTTGTCTGATGTAAATAGCCAGATGGGTATCTCCAATTTCGTACAACATCCATGAAGAAACAAGCCATGTACCTACCTTCTTCTTGAGGGTAATAATAAAGCGAGAACGTTTTATCCCGTTAATGTCACCAATATCTCATGGTAATCCAGGCGGTACCATCGGCAAACTCGAATCTTGCATTTGGACGGTCATTTTACCGGATGAATGCAAACGTGATGTTTACTGATGTCGCACTGGCTTCTATTCGCTAGTGCAGTGGGATCGCCAAATGTATACTTCGAACTGTCTGTAGTTTCCGCTGGAGTATCAAAATGCATTTTGTATATCAAAAGATGGTAAAACAGTGGCTTTCCGTTCATGAGATTAAGATGTTGCTTTTCTTCCGTACCGCAGTGGTTGAATAAACAGGCAGAGCACAGGAGAGCTATGCTGAAAAAAGTTGTTGGTGATCAAGAAATGTCAGACAAGGAGTTAGATCCACAGTGGCTACGGAATAAAGGAGAGTACGTTTCTCACATATTCGAATTTCATTGTCTATGGTGATGCATTTGAATTTTATACCAGTTCACCGACATCATACCATAACACAACCACGCCGGTTTCCCCAACAATCACTCTCTCAACATGCAATAAATTTCCTGTGGCGACTAGTTTTAACCAGAAAACCCTGTCTCCCTGAGGCATCTCTGTATAAGCGGGCATCTCCCAAAGGGCCCTGTAAGTGCCATACTTACTTTCCAAATAAAAGAAATCTGTTAATGTTTACGTATCACAATTACGTAAATGTCACAATATCGAAAAAAACACCGGGAAGCCAGCAGATTAAAGCAAGACGGCTGTTTGTGGAGGATAATAAGGTGAGTTCTGAAAATTGACACAACGAGCTAGACTAATTTTGTAGGCAAGCTATGGCCGCTTTGCTTTTGGTTGTAGATTCAGTTAGCATTGCGTAAACACGAAAGTTTGCTTGAGTTGACGAGTAAAAGCAAAGTGGAGCTTATTTAGACTTTAGAAAATGATTGAATTGGCTACTCTGACTCGTAAGTAATTTTACCGCCCCGCCATGTCAAATAGTACACAACATTAACTCGTAAACAAAATTTACACGGATGGTGCGAATTGCATTTCTCACTAAGCGCCTAAAATGTAGGCGTTCAGAAAGTGTGGAGGCATCTACGAGGTGTGTGAGACCTTGTCGCTTTGCTGCAGCTGAGAAGAGGAGTATTCCTGGTGTTCTTCTCGTAAGGTATGCATTCATAAAGGGTTCTCAGCACTCAGACTACCGATCGGTCGCATATGTGAACTTACTTGCAACTTTCATTCGGTTGATGAAATTTGCATTTCTTCCCTTATGTCCCATGTTCATCATCTCCGCCGTTGGTATCATCACCATTTCCAGCAACAACAACGTGAAAACACAGACACCAAGTTACCGCAAAACCCTGTCTGGTTATTTAGCTAAAACACTAAAATAACCAGAATAAAATGAAAAAGGCAAAAGGCTATGTATTTTGTATCAAACCAGGATAGTCTTCATCTTCAAACGTTCTACCAGACAATCTGCATAGAAACATGAACACCAGGGAACACCATCATCATATCTTGCAAAACTGCCGGCTAGTATAAGTTGATGGCATTCCTCAGTCCTTTAAAAAAGCAAGATAAAAATAAGTATAAAACAATATTAGTATAGCTTAGCCATAGCTCTAGACTTTCAGTGCTCTCCTGTTTTGAAGAGGTTGTGAGGTTACTGAGACTAGTCCTTTGTTTCAGCAACTATTTAACATGGTTCCGATTATCAATAAGAGTTATACCGGTGTGCACAGAAGCCTTACCAAAGCTGACAGAGCCTCCTTTGCCCTAAAAAATCAGTTGTGGCATCGTGCGACTCTGGAGCACTACATTTTTCATGGGTTTTATGGTTGTTATGAGATGCTTGGTCAGTTGGAATAGTGGGTATCCTGCGCAGTCTGCAGCTGGACATAGCTGAAATTCCCCTTTTGGTATCACGTAAAATCTATTTATATTGTACACCTTAGCTTCCAAACAAGACCAAAGAGAATGACTGCGCATCTATTTTATATCTTAAAGGAATTTTAGCACACGCCACCTGATTTTATTCAATATGGCTCGCAAGTTTTATAAACGTAAACCGTTGGTAAAACCTCAAGAGCTTTCCAGTCATAATTCGCCTGCTTCATTCCAGCCATGTTTCATTTGTGAGCTTTCTTAAGGTGGATGGTTTATCCATGTTTCAATGAGTTGGGTGTTCCTTTCTGCACATTTTTGGACACTTCAAGTCTCAATGTTGTGTTTTTGTAATCATTTCGGAAATGGGTCTACCTAGATGTGACTCACTGCTTCCTTTAGTTTCAAGTGTTTTCGACTGATGTTGAAATTTGAGCTTCTCTGTGGTATGGCTTTCCATACTTCATCGGATGGATAGTCAGAAGCCAAATTTAGTTGTTCCCCAGATTTTTGGGCGATTGCCTCCAGGGCCATATAATTGCAAAATCAATGCAACTTGCAACACGGAACTTAACGACTTTATGAAGTGGTTACCTTCCCTAATTTTAAGTTTGCATCCCCACTTACGGTGAGGAATCTGTGGGACCTGTTATCAAGAGCAGAACGAGACAGGATTGACAGTTAATACCTTTTTACATTAGGATATGCGACGACGATTAGATAAGATGAAAACACTGAGGCTATGCAGAGACTGAACAAGAAGGAAGTTAAGGTGCAAATTAAAGAAGAGACTAAGTAATCGGACAATGATGGATGGGACCTGAAACACTGAGAACTACTGTCATGTATACTATCACTTCGGCATCACCTAACACACTGAGTTTCTGAATCGCCAGCGTAAACGCAGCCCAGTGGTTATCTTGGCTAAAAATCTGAAAACTATCGCACTGGATGTTGAAATGAGCAGTCTCAAAGTGACAAAGTTAAAGGAGGGTATCAGCAATACGGCTTGACCCTACATCTTCGAACAGTCATCTCACAGAGACTTTATAACATTCAGACGGTTAATAATGTAGAAAAGTTTGTTCTGGTTACCTTAATGATGTTATGATTTGCCAAATCGTATTTTGCTTCGTCGAAAAAGTTACAGCCAAATAGCCTTGTGCATCTCTTTGTTCATAACAAATTCATCATGCCTGTCTTGGGAAACGACGTCAGGCAAGGGACTTAATGGACGATACTGATGATCAGAAGAATCGCGCCAAATGTTCACGTTTTGTCCACAGTCCAAGGTACACTTTTAATAGCGGTTAAAAGATTATGTTGACTTGTTCTTTGGAACAGAAGTCAATTCGATGACGATGAAACATATAAACTCCATATCTGAGATAACCACTTGCAGTGGCATGGAAGAAAGACAGGCCCTGTTCTCAGCAGCAAGACACATTGTTTTGAAGACAGAACAGTGTGGGGGATGAAGTCTGGGTAACTTTCGGTCGCAGGAAACAACCAAATAGATGACTTTAGTGCACGTTCCAACTTGCGTTTTACTTTAATGAAGCATCTGCTTCTACCTCTCGCCACCAAATACCCCACAGACGCTAAGATCTAATTGTCCTTTGAAATTCGAGGTATTGTTTAAAAAGAGTCCGTTAGGATGAATTTTATGGATCGTATCCGTCTGAATAGGAGCTAATTGAGTATATAATGAAGAATACCATATACCAGGTATTAGGTGAACTTTGGTTTAGAATTCCACCAACACCAAGTAAATTTGAAAGTGACAGCAAACCACAAAATATGGACAAACTGGCGTCCATATATGCGGTAAGCAGGATGGAAACCTGGGGAATGCGTCAACCCAATATGCCTAATGAAGGGCAAAATGAGTGGTGATTCAAATTTATAATATGGAAAAGTTGGAACTGTTGAATCGTTGTTTCCTTTTCATTCGGTCTGATTGCAATTGCCATGGAAATATCCTGAAATTCTTAATTAATTCTTTTGGAATGACGAGAGGTGACATCGTCGTCTTACTCTGTGCAACACTAAATCGAATAAATCGACCAGGGCTATCCCAAAAGAAACACCACCTAGGTTATGAATGATCAACAAAGACAGCCACAAAGCCCTACAAAAATTAAAAAAATACAGAGAGAAACCACAACAACGTCCTTTACAAACAGCGGAATTAACTGAAAGTTCAGATGCAAACCGTAGGTCACAAATACTTTGAGTTGCTGGAGCAATCGAAATCACTCGCATATTCATTGAGATGGATTTCAGAATGGGGTTAGATTTAAAACGGTTAGAAGTGGTGCTTCATGACATAAATCTTCCATGCAATAAGCCCCACTGCTCCCCATTCTTTTCACCCTTTAATGTGGCTTTCTACCCTCCTAGTTGTGTGACAGTTAAACACCGGTGTGTATCAATCTTGGTATCACTGGTCAATGACGGGGATGAATTTTATGAGTAATCCACGAGACCGATTCTTATGAGAAAGGACTGGCTCAGTCGAAAATATGACAAACAAGCTGACGGTCAAAACGCCATGGTGTGGTAAAAGTGCGTGTCTTGTTATGGTAAAATTTGCGCCTACATTTATTTGGGACCGACTTTTCTCCGCTGAAGTCCGATGTTTATGCCTGCCTGTCCCTGTTTTTTTATTCCAAAATCCAGTGATCCCAGTAGCTTCTCTTTAATAAATGACGGGCCGTGTATAGAGGCGTTTAGGGTCGCGGCTCTCTGAGGCATTCAGGCACTTCCCCAGATTATATCGTTTTCATCCTCGTTAGGTCGCACGAAGGACCATAGTGTAACGGTTAAATGTATTTTCATTTTTGAACTTGATATAAGATCACTTTGATGCAGGTGGACCAATAATGAGTCGCTATTGACATAGCATTTTGGTAAAGTTTTATTGCTGGTTAGTTTTCTATACGTATGCTAATGTAAAAGTTTGATATGGTAGTTTGCAGTACTTTGACACGTTAGTAATCACTTTTTTATTTGTCTTACACAAATTTAGCACACTGTTTCGAGCGGGAGACTTTGAGGCTGCCGTCGAGGCTTACAGCAGAGCTATTGAAATCAATCCGAAAATGCATTCGTATCCTTTTAGTTGAACTTGACTGCCACTCCTGAGTACAGGCGCACTTTAGAGTTGTCTTGAAAGTTTTTATCCCTACTGAGCAGGTACAAATTCTCTGCTTTTTTAACTTAAGAATTTATAACTTTGCCCCTACTATATTGGTGTAATGACACTACTCTCTGAGCTCGTGAAACCTAACACTATAAATCCATAGCTGCTATTTCAACGAACGTATTGTTAATATTTTCCTCAGAGCTCGAGAACGCTCAGTGGTCAAGATGTGGACTCACTGACTGGAAAGTCCGTGGTTCTAATCCAACCTCACCTTCTCGACCGCCCCCGTTTTTAGGCTCAAGCAACCTGGCGATAGGTCAACCGTGATGCTTCCCTTGGGTTGTCTAGCAATTAGGAATAAAAAACGAGATGAAGCTGAACCACCAGTTTACAATTGAGATGCTGGTAAAAATATCTCGGTACAGAACAAGCAATAGCAAATATAAGATTGTCAGTGGAGTTATTTTTTAGTGAATTACCTTCAAAGGAGCTACCTTATCCCATTTACACAGCCAACCACACACCATGTTCGGAGGCAGCATGTTATGCTCTCCGGATTCACCCTTTATCTCATAGATTGATTGCTCCCAGTGCGCGTCTCTCACACGACGTTCTCTGTTGGAGGACAAATATAAATCCGTTAAAGTAACTTTGACAGTAACATCAGCGTTTTCACTGATGTGACGTTGGATTATGATTTTTAAGGATATTGCTATGGCCTAATGGAAACACCAGAGGAGTGATCCGAACTTACAAATCTTTTGCAACGGTGCACAGGATGATCAAACTATTGTTAGTGGGGACGAAATTTGCACACCCCCTATCAAAACATCTCACTGGGTTGTGGATGTGAGCCAAGGGGGCCAATATTTCATATACTTAGGCGTGACTGATGACTACGTGGAGAGCAAAGACTAGAGGTATTGATGATTTTCTTGGGTTTCATGCTTCAGAACGTAGTCCCACTTTCTCACAAACAAAAAATTAACTATGCGCACATCACGAAAGAGTCACTCTCAATCTTAGTAATAAAAACGTAGACACAATCACAGATGCACACTCCTTAACTACACCGGTTAAGAGCATTTTCAAATCGTGCCGCTTGTCATTTGCAACTAAGAAACTTTTTCAAGGCTCTTGAAGATAGCTCAACGGCACTGGATTTATGCGTCCCAGCAGTGCCACAAAATCTACGCTCACGCGTTCGTGCACACGCTCGTCGTGCGGCAGCCTTTTGCAATCTGAAGATGTTCAAAGAAGGTAAGAGGTTTCAATAATTGCCTGGTTTCTACCCTTTACCTTTTGAACTAAACCGATATCCATGTAACCGCCATCTTCCCAAATTTGAAAACATTTAATCATCAAATTTCGTTTCATGGTAAAAATGGGATTTAGGACACATTACCACAGGACTACTGGGTTGATTTTGAAACCTCTAATGTCCCTGCAATTTGTCATAAATCAGTAAAGATGGACAAAGTGACTTGGATGACTGGACCCGGATAGAAATTTTGACGGATTTCTGAATTCAAATTGGTTAGGTGTGCAGCTGAAATTTTTTTGCACAAAAGTGTCCAGTCCAAAGCATCAAAAGGTCTTCTCTGCTACAATTATAACCGGGTTCATTTTCAGTGCCTGTTCTTTGATCTGTTCCTGAATTATCAAGGAGGGAGAACTATGACCAGTATGCAAGTGCAGCGTCCCCCTAGCCCGACCTAAAGCTGCCACCTTGACGTGGTGGTCGGGCTTGAGTGCTGCAGCGATCCAGCGGGCTACACTGGCTGGAACTTCGTTCCACAAGGTGCAACCATGCCAGGAAGGCCAAAGGGGAGCAGCCAGACCAAGAGCAGCGAGACCTCGCACTACCAGTAATCGTGCTACGAGGCGGTCTGGGGGTAAAGTCGTACTGTCCTCTGCGACAGGAGTGTGAAGGCAGTAAGGTGTTTCCCCCAGGCGACCAGCATGTCCATATTTATGGAAGCAGCGATGCTGCCTTCCCCTGAGGAAGGACGGGTTAGAAAAGGTCGGCCCCAAAAACCGCACACTCCGATCGCCCAACGGTTGACCGTGACCGCCGGCGCATTATCCAATACGGTCGAAATACTTGTAAAACCAAAGAGCCCGGTGATGCTCAAAAGGCACCTGCTGTGCGCAGCCGAATCAGGAATGAGACAGTAATGCCTTATTCCCTGCGACCTCGGGTTAGGCCAACCCCCTTCAGCCGAGCAGGTCAGACTGTTGAGTCGTCGGCTCCGGGCAGGGTCCCCAAAGCAACCCCTACATTCTCCCGCTGCCTCGTGAGTCAGACTTTTGAGTCAGAGGCTAGGGTCAGGGTCCCAAAACAAAACCCCACACTCTCCCACTGCCTCTTGGGTCAGATTTTTTAGCCAGAGGGTAGGGTCAGGGTCCCCGAACAAAACCCTACGTCATCCCACTGCCTTGTGGGTCAGACTTTTGAGTCAAAGGTTCAAGGTGGGGTACTTCAACCAAACCCCCTTCCTCGGCCTGGGCAACCGGGAAGTATCATTTGCCCGCGCAGTTCAGCGTCCACCGATGACAGCAAGTTAAACCTTAAATCAACATCATTTGGACTCTGTGCACCTCTTTGAATAAAGGTATGATCTTGTATGACTAGAAATGGTGCACAACGTTATTCTAGTCATTGACCAGTGCACGCATCTCATCACTGTGTGGATACTAACATTATCGGTTTTCCACAGATTATAGTTGCATTAACTGAACTAGCAATGTACTCCATTTTGTTGTTCCGCAAGTGTCCTGCGCTCAACAGATGGGGTAGAAAGGCTTTTATTTTACGATAATGTTTTTCCGACAGTTAAACGATGATTGTAGACCAGTTATGCGAAGTTTCACCTTCTATCCAGTGTGCGCACTACTGGGTCAAAGAATCAGATTCACCTTCAGTGTAGATCGGAACGGGTAATGAGTAGGCTACCTCTTAGGACTTAATAAGCGTGTTCGAGTATTTGTAAGAAGCTGGATAAATTAATTCGACGTCATAGGATGTCTTGCACCACCCAAGGGTGAAGCGAAAACTCAATAGTCTAATTGACTATGGTGTTTACAGACAGCGCTACACGTGTCGATGCTACGTAAATCGGTGACACATGCGTGGCGGTCCACTAAACGAAGAGGTGGGAAACCACAATTACGTATGTCACGCAATTGGGCGACTGCTTGCATGGATTCATGTCCACAATTTATGAGTAGCTGCTGTCCGTTAACGTCTGTCCTGCAAACAACCTTTTGGTGTTGACCCCTCGTTGCGGCTCGATCAACTTTACTTAGGTTGCATCACTCACGCTTGGAAAAGCTTCAATTTTCAGGGAGAATTTCAAATGGAATTAAGTGGAAGGAAAACACATCAAGTTTCCGTTCTTACAAAACAAATCGCTTGTCTTCATATCTTCCTGGACTATGAGCATACCGAAAAAGACGCAGTGGAACTTGTTTCTTTCAGAATTACATCTAACTACTCAAAGATAATTTTGAGCAAACCTGTCTAACATTCGTATATCTTTCATTTACTCAGGATTGATTGAATACAGAGCTGCGCACCAGCTTGATCCATCGGACTCGAGCATTGAGGCTGATATGCGAAATATCGAGAAGTACCTGAACCAACTTGCAGCCGCATAATTTCTGTCGCAATTTTGGCCGTCTTAATTTTATTACGTCGTTTTCCAATTTCGATAAAGACCTCAGGTCTTGAAGTCTGTGAATATATGTACATAGTGATAAATAAAAGCGAGAGGCATCTGTACCCAAATAAAGGCTGGTGTAAAACGTATTTCATTTTTGCTACGTTTAAGCCATGGCCAGTCCACTCAGGCAAGGATATTATATTAGAAGCGTATCGAAATCTCGGGGTGGCTACGGTGATTGGATACCAGTTGAAAGACTGTATTTATTATGGGCCATCACGCCCACCAAAATACGATTCGATCAAAATCATTTTGAAACATTTCGTTGCTGCCTCTATCCAAACTCCGCGCGGATGCGTCATAGCTCCTTTCCCCAGAAAGAAGGAAATTCATGACACAAGCGTTTTTCCACAAAAAACTTTTTCTCAGTTTATTTCTCACATTGTCCTTTCCGCTCCCTAATTTTTAACATGATTTATTCGGAATGTGTGGGCAAAACGTCTGAAAGTATGGTATTGAATTTTCATGAAATTCGCATAAAATCTTACTTTTATATTTCTGCAGTTTCTTAAGTCACCACTTACAAGTAAAAGCATTGGACGATAATGAAGAGTGAATTCTGCAGTAATACATGATGAAAATTACTATGTTCCCGCTGCTTAGTTAAAAGAGGCATCCACATCCCACAAAACGCCCATCATCAGATTCCACGCACCGTAGACTTCTTGTAGCTTGTGTAAGTTCAGTATGCGCTACTGTACTACATATCAGCAGCAGCTCACTTAATTGTATTAGCCATATCTTAACGTGAATGTATTGACTCAATAAAAGCGTTGAAATACTCCCATTTGCGAATTACACTGGTGTTATTGAGAAACTTGGCTGAATCTCTGGGTCATGATGTTCTTAAATTGAGCGTGTTGCACGAATGGTGCCTCGTGTAAAGTTGACAGGACCTTTGAGATATCGCTGTTTCACAGCACATCGTCTTCATCGACAACCCACTGGTTGTTTTTGTCTTGTTTAAAACTCATCAGGTAAGCTTAGTATCACGGAGCTAGAATATTTAATTTTTGACTTGAACAGCAATTTAGCTGAGAGTCTATGTTGAGTTTTCTGGAGTTGTTAGAAACGGAGAGCAGGCAAAGTCTGTTGTAGGCAACGGAATTTATATTCCGCCGTATAACGTGCAACACCTAGGTCGTCTGGGGTTTAGCTGAAAAAAAAACATTTATTGAAATTTTTCTTGTTTTGCGTTACGTGCAACACCTAGGTCGTCTGGGGTTTAGCTGAAAAAAAAACATTTATTGAAATATCTCCTGGTTTTGCGTTAAGCGACAGTGCAGTGCGCTACCGATTTCGTCTTATTTCAGCAACTTCAACATCCACATAAGCTATTGCGAATCCTCACAAATCTTTCGATGGTAGATTGTGGTGATAGTGATGGATTACGACGTCATGCTCCCACCATAGACTAACAGGTGAAAGGAGGATATTTGTCTTCCATGAAAGAGCTTTTTTCCGAGGATCGCACGCTATGTACCGGCTAAAAAGTTTCTTCAGGGAGTTTCCTTCCCCACACTTATCTGAAGTGGGTTGTTTTCGGTTTTTCCAGTGGGCTTGCGCCAGTAAGCTTACCGTTCTAGTCAAAAAATTCAGTTCGAGACTATTCGAAACGGTGACGGTTTTTCTCGAGAACCCCAGTACTTTCGGTTCCGTTGGTAAATCTTTGGTTACTCATGAGTAACTAATTTGCAAACCCAAATTTACCCGGAGTCTCACTTGAAGATGGTTTTCAAAGCAAGCGATTCCAGTTGGTGGTGCAAAGCGTGAAAATGCGATGTGCTCCAAAATCGTTCAGTAGGCCTGGTCAGATCAAGGCAGGCCAGGCTGTTGTACTCTCGTGTATTTTGAGAGAAGGCACAAAACATTGGTCCTCGCAAATGGAGGGCTTCGAAACCATTAGCCTGTTTCAGTTCCCTAATCGACATCAGATTTGGATTTCATTTCCCAGAACCCCGCATGGTGTGGAACGTTTATAAAGGCACTGTGTTTTATTTTTTCGTCGTTTACTATCCATCTATCCAAAAGGTATCTTCTATCGTCTATTACCGTCTACGATCTATCTTGCCTACTATCATCTACCATCATGTAATTTCGAAACCATTCAGGCCTGTTTTCTCAATGTTATTATTTTGTTATTATTATCTTTAGTTAATTCGAAGCAGTTGAAATTGTCTTGCCTCTAAAGCCAAGAGAGCAATTCTCGTAGAGGTAACAAGTGCCATGAAAGCATCCGAATGATAAGTGCTTTTGAAATTTACAAAAGTACGGATATACTTGTCTGCTGATATCTCATCAACATTATCCCGGCCACCACAGTTTCCTCGATTGATTGCAGGCGGCTCGGTACGACAGGACTGCGCACCAAATGCAGTTCCACGAAGCAAACAATTGCGGATACAAATACTACCATTATCATCATTATTCTTATTCATGTACTTCTAAAGCTCTGCGCATGGAAAGGGTAACATCCAATGTTCCAAGCTAGTACGGGTAACAGAAATGAAACTTTAATCACTTTCTTCAGGTACCAACGTTTCCTCAATATTCCTGTCCAGGCCATCTTATAGTTATATGTCTGTTTCGCTGAAGTTATCTAAGCGAAGAATTTCCTTACCATAGAGTAGATGAAACGTGCGATCTATACAGTTAGAGTCCATGAGAGTGAGGAGTCTTCTCCTATAGTCCTTATTTCAAGGACGGTATTTATTTTTGAAGTGCAACCGCAGTTAAATACAACTTCAGCTCATTTACCCTCTTCACCTGTGGCGCTACCTGACAGTGAAACGAGAAAAACTTCCAAAAAAGGTGGCAAAATGTAAGCACATATAACAATGTACTTAAAAACCGCGAACACTGGGAACATTTCAACATCTCGATGGAACACATTATTTTTAAAAGTGCTTTTAATCAGAAGTTCAACAGATTACGTAAACAAAATAGCCTTGCAGACCACGAATCAGTTTAAAGCTGCCAAGTTCACCACCCGTCATTAAAAAATTCTATTTAAAAGCCCAGATTTTCACTGTAAAAGAATTATGAGTCCTGCAAAGTGAGCCACCCCCTTCCTCATCGTCTTCGTGGTTCACCAGGTGTATGTAGCAAGAGCAGCCGTAGGCCGCTTTGGTTGACGGGCGCCACAAATCCAGTCACCGCGAACACCCATAGCTTGAATTAGTGGTCTCTTGGTTCTACCCACGCTTTGGCTTGGCTACGTGCTAGTAGTCAAGTGGTTATCCTGAGTTTTATACAAAACGCATCGACGGTACGGCGAACGCTAAACTTTGTGATGCGTTTATGAAGGTGCTTGCAAGACCACGACGGCCCACTACATACCCATTCTAATCATGGACTGGACTTACAGTCATATGGAATCAGTGACTCTGGTGAGTCATCACTTATGATAAGAAAGACTTCCTTATTTTTGGGACGGACGTACGTCTTTATAAAGTAAATACGATCCAAACATTGTTCCACCCAAGATTTGGATGTGCCAGGGAAAATCCGTTTTCAACCCTGATAATGAAACAATGGGCGGACGGTAATGTTTCCACTCAGACACTGAAGCATCGAGTGGTACCTTCCCCACAATACCGCGAGGACAGTTGGTTGAACTATTTTCAAAAGCCGACGTATCGATTTACATGACTCAGCTAATTAAGTCATATGAAAATGGTGAACTGCTTAATGTTGATTCCTGGTCTCAACATGACCTAGGACACCTTAGTATTACTGGTACGTCGGGAGTGCAAAAACGTGAACTCAAAACGTTTTTGGAGACTGTAAAACACGCCTAACTGAGCGCCGGTCACATTGATGTTCAGAGATCGGGTTAAGTTAGTTCATTGTCTGTGGTAGGTTCGAGAGAAACTAAACGGAACGCAAAAGATATGATCTGTATGCCTTTTCTCCAAATAACTGTGTCTCATACTCTAGGAGAGGCAAATGGCGAAAAACAGAACTGCTCTTATGTGTTAGTCCACTGCTCTCTAGCTCTATTCCGGAAATGTTTTCTAACATGACAGACAAAGTAAGCAGCTGTCAGAGAGCGCACAAGCAAGTGAGACAACAGTCCGACAGAAACTCGGAGACTGCGCCTAACTCATCAGCAGCAAGAAGGCCACGGGATTTTGAATAGCATCCAGGTTTCTAATGAGTACTGCTCCGCCAAGAAGCTAACTATTGCCTTCCTCATAGTACCTGCTTTAGTGCGCCTTTGTAGCATTACAACTTAGAAGGTTGCTGTGAAGCAGCAAGTAAGCTCTGCAATAAATATACCCTCAACTCTGCAGACTAAATCTTAAACCTTCATAATGACCACATTTTCGGGTTTTTGCCAGCAGACCGGAATGCAGTGAAATGCAAAAATTACTTGATATAGTAGTGTTCTGCACATGCTCTGCGTGAAAAGGCCAATTTAATTGGGTATCAGAGAAACCAACAAACAAACCAGGCCTTGCCCCTGTTATTGTACAATCGGTATCGATGAGCCACCACCGATTCTATCTGTCTTTTTAGGACTCGCCAAATTAGTTTTCCTGATATGGAACGCCACGGCGCAACGCATGAGTGAACATTTTAAACGACCCCAGAATTTCCACATGCTCTATTATCGAAGTGTCAAACGTCTAAGCACGACACCTCGGTCCCACACCTTGAACAGGCAAACACAGGATGGTGTAGCAGTGCGATGCCTGTATGTATGCATATGAGCACGTGCGTGCGTGAGTCAATTTGCAGGCAATTCAGAAACCCGAACGAGCGAGTGAACACGGTTCATTCGTCTCACTTGTCTCAATGTGTGATATTCAAATTTCCTGCCGCAATTTTGACTTGGGACCTAATTGCTTTCATGTCACTTTCATTGTAAACTCTCAAAGGCCAACCCCACCCCTCAGTTGGTTAACCAACTTCCCCTCAGTTCTTGGCTCAATGAGCATGCCATAGTCTGAGCGTGCAGCAGTAGTTCATGGTCGACTGGCAAGTTTTCCGCCAATCACCCACAGCAAACAGGCCGCGCCTTGAAACTTCAGGAAACACAGGCCGATTAGTGGTGCTCACGTTGTC